AAGCAACATCTATTAAGAACAAAATTATAAATATATAAAACTATATATATATATATAAAAGATATATAAAAGATCAAATTTACAGTTTAATAATGTGCAAATCATGTTTCATAAATCTCTTTTATGAATGAATAAATTAAATTGACATACATTAAGTGATTAATGAGAAGGACTGGGGAAACAGACGACACATGGTACGCAACAGGAGCTCTCTGAAGCAGAAAGCATGTCTTGTGTCATCTGATTGACAACTGTTGAAACAGACTAGTCTTGGCTAACAAACAAGAAATGCACCGATTTAGACGTTTATTTATAATACTGCTTCCTTGGAAGTATTAAGTAGCGGGTGCCAAAAAAGTCAGAGATGACACATACCATTATAGAAAATCTATGGGAATACATTATATAACATTTGACAATGTAATGTAATATTAATGTAAATTGGGCTTAAGATCCCATATAATTTCATTCATATTCAGATAATATACAATGTCCATATGTTCACATGTGTGCATTGTACATTATCAGTGACTCAACAGTATATAGTATCAGCTCCAACGACAGTTAGGAGACAGTGGTTCATTTTCCTACTTTAATCAAACACGAAGCAGTAATTATCTCCACTCAATCGAGCCTAATGTTTCTTCTCAGACAGAAGTTTTCAAATGTTTTACTTAAATGAACGGAGCATAGTCAACAACCTATTTTTTGACTTTTTACTGTTGTGTTTCCTTAAGTTACATTACATTACGATATATCATATCCCTACTAATAATCATAACACCATAGTAATGTATTGGAAATCTAAAACAAATGTAAAAAAATAGAGCTAATAAAATTTGTTCAATGACTTAAAAAGAGTGATCACTCCTCTCTTCTTCCTATGTCAGAAGGCCACAAGAGATTGTCAGTTTATCTTATCTTATTTGAATATTTGAATATATGAATATATTTGAATATTGGAATATGGAAAACCACAAGCTCAGAGTTATAAGGCACATACTCACATACACACTTAGTATGTTTTTCACACTCACATAGTCTTCATGCAAAGTCTTACAGTTGAGCTTTCAACAGTCGACAGTATTGTGGTCAGTGTCTAGCTCAGTGTCAGACACAATGATGTCTTCAGCAATTTTGTATTTCAGGACTGACATCTGTGAGTGTGCATGGGCGACACAGTTATAATGTGTGTGATTGTATGCGTTTCCCTTTAAGTCTGTCTCTGGTTAATGTACAGTTTTCCCCTCTTAAGAGGTTTAACTAAAAACTTGTCTTCTTCTGCCTGCTGTTGACTGCTCTTGATGCTGAAAGCTGTACACTGGCTCCCACTTAGTATTTATACCTCTGAACTTGATCTCTTTGTCTCTCTGCTTCTGCTCCAGCCCAATGAAGTGGCCAACACGATGTGTGGCTACAATGTGTTGGGAAAAGAGGTAAAAACTCAAAAACTCCTTTCCTTTAATGTTTAAAATATTTATTGCAGTTTTGCCTATTTAACAGACAGAGCATAATAATTTGGTATGACATTGCATGTGTGAGCATTAAAATCTTGCTTTTTATTTCGAGTCACAGCAGTCCAGTGAGGTAGCAACCACGCACTGCTCAAGTGCGCAGTGTGTCAAAGACGTTAGATAGTTCACTAAAATAGTAAAATATCTTTAGAACCTATTCCTTGATTATATCCACATTATTATTATTATTATTATTATTATTATTATTATTATTATTATAAACATGGGAAATGAACCTAACCAGCAATTTGTCACTCGTAGCGTTTGGACTTGATCGACATCATCCATATCAGAGGCTGCACTAATGCTTTCTTTATCTGGCTGATGGACAACTATAAGACTATGGCAGGACTGCTATTAGGGATCCTGCTGCCTCAGGTACACACACACACACACACGTATATACATACGCAAACTACCAAACTGCTTAAGGCAGTGTAATATTCATGACTTACATTTACTCTCTGAAGATTTAGCCTAACTTAAACCATACAGTAACTACTACATGCTCAACCCCAAGCTTTACCCTGTCCTTAACCTAAGCCAAGTCTCAACCCCAAAAGGTAATGAGTTACATTGTGGGGACGTGCATTCTGTTCCCAAAAGGGAGGTGAGTCCCCACAATGTCAATGTGTAAGCAGATTTATGTCCCCACACCTCTGTTAACTGTAACATTTATAAAAGACTGAGATGTCTTACAAATGTGTTGATCTGATTGCACATTTGTTATTTAAATCTGATTTGTATTGTTTTACCTGAACTTTTTACAGAACTTAAAGGGTAGAGATGAAGTTTGTACCTATAACTTTCACAGATTTTTTTTTACTTGTTACAATATTTGCCTGTATATTTTACAAGTGCAGCTTTAGTTTCAGTACGTCTGTAAATATCAGAAGCATATTGAAATAAAGCATTTAGGCAAGCATCTTCGATCGAAACATCAGGTACATCTGCCAACTCCTCTGCAGACATCAGCAGTGACTAAATAAGCAGTGCAATTTTCACAAAATGCTTTGCATGCTGGCCCATTTCATGTAGGTTTCCTGTACATAGAGATCAAATGGGCTGCATTTTTCATTCGTCAATTATCTGTTACAGGATTTGTGAAATCGTCTAACATTTTTTCTAGCATTAAAAAAAATTATCTACACTAGAAGGCACTGTGAAACATATGCACACATTATGCATGTACACTATACATCTGCCACTTTCCCTTCATATCCAGCATATTTTACCAGATCCATTAGAGGATGTGGGCCTGACAGTGATGTAAGCTATTTTTCATTATTCTGTCATTTCTTGCATCTCGTTTTAACTCATAGGATACTTTAAAATTCAGACACACAAATACACAGCTATGAATGTAGCTTGTGCTGTTAATAAGCATGTTTGACTTGACGGAATGTGAGTTTAGGAAGGGAACGCAAAAGCTGTCAGTCAGTCATCTAATCCATACATGGGGTGTTTCTCATTTGCCCTTTTTCATGTCTCCCCGAAAATCAATCTGTTCCACCATTGTGAAGGATGTCTCAATTCTATTTTTTTCTGTTCTGAGGAGCAACCTCGAGGAGTGAGGAGGCTGCCTTGAGGGGGATACATTTATTAGAAGTTGGTTAATTTTTGGACACTGCAGCTGATCACCGCAGTTTTATACCAGGACAAATAACAGATTTGGATGCATATTAAAATAGCCAACTTTCATCAGATATAAACATGTTTACAGCCTGGTACAAAAATTTTCCCATTTGTGACAACTGTGGTGAATTTTTTGCTCACCTGTTTAAATTATAGTTGTGCATAATTAAGGGCATAGCTGCTTTGAGTGACAGGTGGGTGCTGTCACAGATGTCTGATTCATTCAGCCTGCCTCAGCTTCGCCCACGCTCCATGTCTTTGCCCATTTTTGGATTTGCCGGGAGCTAGTGGAGTCAGGACTGTCAAGATGGCAACAGCCAGAGCAGATCACACAGTTTCACAACGGCCCTTCAGAAACCTATGGGTGATGTCATCCATTTTTAGCTATACAATCTATGATCACCACCAAGGTCAGATTTTATTTGTGTTTCTAAAACATGCAAATATATTTCACAATTACTTTTGGAGGACATCCCTGCACTGCTGCACTGGCTGTAGTGACAGAGCATCCTTATTATTATTTGGACAGTACATCACATTATCTGTGCAAATACAAACAGATTAGGTTCAGAGGAAAAGACCTCCTCAATTCCTCTCTTCTTGCATCTCTTCCTCACATCTAATGTGGGAGGGACTACAACACAAGGATAAGACGCAAGTGAAGGAAACAAGGAGACATTTAAGACAAATGAGAAGCACCCATTGTGATCTCCTTTTCTTTTCTTCCATATTTAGCCCTGTCTCTCTCTCTCTCTCTTTCCCCAGTTCTTTGGTGTGATAGTCAGCTGGCTGTACATCACTCGTGTTGAAGACGCCATCAGTGAGTATGGTAACTACATGGACGGACTACTGAACTCAGACACACTGGAAAGAGAAGCCAAGAGCCAGGGCCGTGTGTCCAAATGGTTCATGTGTATGCCGGAGATCGACTGATGAAACAAAAGCCAAAAAGCAGCAAATGGACTCCACTCACAGTTGGTTAAATCACTCCAGTCGTTCCAGATACTGGTGACAGCCACTGTGGGAGCCTGCGTTACTATACGCTCACTTCACTATGGAGACATTTCTTTTTTGTTTTTGGGAAGAAGGAATTGTTCAGCATTATTAAGAGTTTGATATTTAAGTGTTAACATACAGTGTGCTAATGCATGATTTATATATACATTATGTGTTTAGCTGTATCGTGCCTCAGACGGTCTCAGGGATGAACACAGAAATTGGTACAACCACTATAACATAAAATTAGTCATGTCACACAATCTAAAGTACTTTTATATGTGTTCATTGTTTGTGTTCCAATTAAAACATTAACTGACTCCTCCTACAACTACTGATGAAACAGATCCTATCATTCAATCACTTCAACAACAAAAAAAAGGATGCAGTTTGCCTTATTTCTATATAGAGCTGGAAATACTTAGAGGTTTGAGACTAAATAATTATTATTTTGAAATAGCCCATAGAGGATGAGTATTTATGCACCCTGCACATTCTGTTAAGACCACAAGTGTTCACTGATCTTTCATGATGTGTCTAGCACAAGAAAAGTTGTCTATAATGCTCAGATTTATTACATACATTTTCTTCATTAAAGTCTTAAGTTTGACTGCTCGGTTGAACTTAGGTCTACTGTTTTTTTTGTTTTTTTTTATCAAATGCATTTCCTGTTCGCCCCACAGTGTCATGTTACAGACCAAAATGATGTTTTTACATTGATTTAAAAGATGATATCTCAGGGTTTTTTAGTATAGCAACCCTGTCTCCTAGAAATTACTAATTACTCATTTACAAATCTGTCTCTGAGACACCTAAGGTTTTTAATCAATATGACAAAATGTTTTTGAGGAACAAATCTGCTAAATTCATACAGAACATAACGTGACTTTGAGCACAAGGTATCGCATGTTTACTTTATGAACATTTAACCAAAACCACAGATGTTTCCCTAAACTGCCAAAACCTAACCACACACAGGACTCAGGAGTCTTGTGCTTTGTACACCCTCTCTCAGACCACCTCCCTGCAACTTTTCTTACAACACTTGAAAACATTCTAGGAGACAGAGTTGCATATAGACATGTTAAAAAAGGCAAGAGAAGATGTACTGTTGATAAAATCGCCTTAAACCCCCCACATTAAACTGCAGTGTTGTTTTACAAACATGTACTTCTCATGACCTAAGTGAATAATGTGAATTTAATGTGCTACTGAACTTTGTTTGGTTTGATGTGAAGTTGGAAACTGAGACCAAATACCTAATCTTTGTAGTAGAATTAAAATCTCCCTTTGTAACTTTGTCACACTACATTCTTAATAATATGTATGTATATATACTGTCCTACTTTTGTACTGCTAAAACATGTTTGCAGTGCCTCTATTTAATAGGATACAAGGCCAAGCAGGTCTCATGAAGGTTTACATGGTAACCTTGTTTGCGCTGGAGGATCAAATAGAGATTGCCAGGACTTTATTCTCATTAGCATGGTCACATATTAGGTTCAAATTAATAATAATCCCTGTTAAATTATTTCTTCTCACGTTCAGCCTGCTGCAGAAAAAGATTATATTTGATTCTAGCATTTTAATGTGTTGGGCTGTCCCTCACCAAGTGTTGTTTTATGTTTCAGCTCAGTCTTTCAGAATGTAACTTGTGAAGCATTTGGCTGGTGGATTGAAGGTAAACGTTATCTGATTATCCTAATCAGTTGGTTGAGTTTTTTTATATATGTGCTACAGTTGCTTCCTGCTTCTTACAGTACAGCTGCATTCACACAGAATCAGACGTTCAGGTTTTTTGACTTCTCTATTGGTGTCAATAGCAGAAACACATCAGATCCAACATAGAGTACAACCAGCTCCTCGCTGGTTAAACAGCAGTGAAAAGATGAGGCCTGCGTAAACCATTTCCATTCAGGTCACTTCCTGTGCCTCATTGAACCAGACATATCTAATGGTGATAAGTTAAAAGGTCCATCTTGGCTAATGAACGAGTCATCACACATTTAACAGCCTCGCTGGTCAGTCCAGTTTATTATCAAACTATTTCAGTTCTGTTTTAAACAAAAAATTTATTGATCCCACTCTGATAGAAGGTATAACTTACAGATTTAACTCAATATCAGGTTTTTCATTTTTGTAAAATCACCAGTCTACTATCACAGTACCTACACATCACAGTTAAAGTGCCAATGTTGTCTCTTTAAAGGTATGAGATGATTAGATGAGATGATACATAGATGTATATCCAAAGTTATGTTTTTAGTGTCATAGTTGCTATTCATGTATGCCTGTGTTACACACCAATCAGCCATAACATTATGACCACTGACAGATGAAGTGAATAACATTGATTCTCTGGTTACCATGGCACCTGTCAGTGGGTGGAATATATAAGGGACCAAGTGAACATTTTGTCCTCAAATTGATGTGTTAGAAGCAGAAAAATGGGCAGCGTGAGGA